TTTTCAAGTGGATATGGAAGAGCAAGCAAGCCATAATCCGTCTACTTCAGAGGTAAAAGAACGCAAAATCAAATGCAACAGACTAAATGAGAAACAATAGCAAGATAAACCTCTTCATAGTTAATATTCTGCCCGCTCCAAGCAATCTGGTATAGAAAAGCCCCAGACCCAATCAGTAGCTGCCTAGTGCAGGATAAAAAGTTGAAACGGGGGGGGGGTATTCTTGCTGCATAGGATCGATTCTTGTTAACTAAAAATTATCAAACAAATATACCGAAAAATTGTTTTGATCCTAAATGTAGTTTCTGTGATGAATATCCAGAACCAATTGACCATTGTGTATCAGTTTGCACGATATTAGCATCCAGTGAATATAAAACTCTTCACGAAAAGGTGATCCAATATTGAAAGATATTTAACTTTTATGGGAAGAAAACTGCAAGAATTTTGAATGAAAACTACCCAAACCCGATTACATCTATCGGAGCTGTAACAATATTATGGAACTTTACACACAGATAAGAACAATCAAGGCTCAGACATCGTGATCAAAAAGCAGAACGTGTTTTCTTATTGACATGGCAGTCCCTGCAGATTGCAATGTACCTTTGAAGATCTTTAGAATCTATCGAAATATAAGGATCTAAGTAGAAATCTAAAACATAATGTGGAACATGAAAACATTAATAATTCTATTTATGGTTAGAGTCTGAAGTTTCAGTAGAAAATGTTCTGATAGATTCATTGAACGGATCTCTGGGAGGTTATATTTTAAGGAAAATAAGAAAAAAAGAATTGTTCTCATAACATCACTCACATCCTACGAAAGGCTTACTCTATGGAAAATGTGCACGTTTTTGCATTTTTCTTACCCAAATGTGTAGTGGAAAATGTCACGATGTCATTTGTTACATTGGGTGTCCGGTCGGGGATGCGGGAAGAAATGAGTGTACAACAGAAATCCAAGCAAATAATAATAAATAATAAGTCGATATGTAAACAGAATGAACGACAACATAATATCTGTTACGGTTAAAACAATGAAAGTTGCTAAGCCAACCTGCATGCTAATGCTAGCAGACCGGTCGAAATGGCTTTATTCAGAGTCCGGATCCCGGGTTGTCTGAGAACACCACAAACATTCGAGAATTTCTTTCCATGATTTATGTTCTTTGTAATGATGAAGCTTTGGCCGCGTAGCGCCATTGTCGTAATTGAAACCTTACAAACATTAAACGTGGCTAGAAAGGCAAAGTGTGCTTTTCCAGCTGATTGGACGATGATCGAACGCTAGCTTAATTAGTACACAACATTAAAGAGTTTGCAGCTATTTCCATATTAATTTGACCTTTCAACACGGCATTAATTATATCGATTTGTGAATCTGTATTTACAGAATGATACATAAATAAGCTTACACTTTTGAAAAGAAAAAGGTTTTCTAAAAAAACAATTGTGCATTTTAAAAATATTTTTATATAAAATTAAAGAATTAAACGGTGGTAAACTGAATTTAAAAAAATTAAATTATTCTTCGTAAAAAATTCTTCCCCTACTTTTTAAAAATCCAATCTCCCCATCCATTTTGACAACGATCCCTGCTATTTATATCATCTGCATTCGGTTTAATATTCTCAACTTTGCTTTTCTTATTAAAAAAGAATTCGACCGTTGTGACTTCCGGGCTTCATCAGGTGCTTTTTGATCCGGGGAATTTTGAACTGAACCCTTTATTTAATCTACAGGGATAGATTGTTCTCGCTCCGCAGCCAATGTCTAAAGGAGATAACTCCTCTTGTCCCCTTGACATGTACAACAGAACGAGAATCTATCTACCTCTGTACACCGAAGTTAAGCAACGCCAAGCCCGGTCAGTACTTAGATGTGGATCTGCTTTGGAACACAGGGTATTGTAAGCAACCTACTAGAATCCGAATGTTTCAGCTTTAAATAACCCAGAAAGGATAGATAAGCCGTAAAAATTAAAACACTCAATCAATGTACTTCTATAGATTAAGAAAAAGTGTTCTGTTCCAGATTCTCTGAAGATTGCCCAGATCGAGAGAAACCTGAAGAAGGAAGGAGGTCCCAATGGTCGAAACATTGTGATAACAACACCAAAAAATATGCGGACATTCATCCGAATGTAAATAATAAGTCCTTATCCCAGAAATTCAGACAGAAAAGACTCCCATATTATCATCGACTTCCCGAAAGGCATCCATTGATGAAATGTTTCAAGTCATCGATGTAGCGCAAAAAGAATTCTAAATTAAAATTGAAATTAAATTTTTTCTTTGTGAGAAAAAAGGGGCAACATAAATTCGAACGGTTGCCCTGAAGTTAGACATGCAACCTGTTCCCTAGAATAATAAATTCGATCCTCAATGACTGTTAAAGCCTCTGGGCATGTACCAAACACAGCTAAATTTAGTAAACAGAAATACACGCGTGTCTTTCTCATGATGTCTTCTAATGCAATGTTAATGTTTTTATTTGTTAAATAAGGATTTAAAAAGGTGATATTGGCAGCTGCAGCTAGAATTTGAACCTGTTTTCTCCAACTCCATTCTTTCTACATCTGCATAGATTTCAAAACGATTCCAACCACTTTATGAATCTCGAAAATCTAATTTTGAATTTTGTGTGATACACCAAGCGAATTGATATGAGACAAAGTTGTAAATTGTATGTTTTGTGCTGTTTAACGAAAATGCACACGCAGAAAGAACGCGATATCGTGGTGTTGGAACGGCTCTGAGATCTTTACGATAGCTGAAAAATTCTAGCAGGGTGCTTTCATCAAATTTTGTGTGAGGTTTGAAAAATCTGCTACTGAGGCCCTTGAAATACTTCGTCAGGGTTTTGCGAACATTCTTGAATGCAAACACAGATTTTTATTTTTAGTTGCACTTGCGTTTCAAGGCGGGTTCAGTGTCGTTTAGCCAGTGTGTTCGATGATTAGTAAAACGGCAGAAAATAAAGGAAACATACGTAAACTCATCCATGTGGAATGTTACCGAAAATTCCGTAAGGAATCGCTTCTTCTTGTACCGGGGTGACATGTCTGATTGTCTATGTCTGTTGTCGTAATAAGTACAAGCTTGTTCTCAATGAAGCAAAGTTACTGTTTCCTGATAGAATGAAACAACGTATAGCATCTCGCAAGTTTGGTTCTAAGGAATATTGACGGCTCTGCAAGTGTGTGCTGAACTACAGCAAATCCTCAATCCCTCCTCTGTTCAATCATTTCGAAGTCCTAACATCCTCAGCTGATGCTTTGCTCGAAATTTCTCATCCAACTCACCACACGACTCAACCGGGGTACCCACACCTGATTTTCCCTCGCTCCCGAGAACTGAGGCTATATTAAGTGAGGTGTACATAACCCCGTTGATGGTATGAGACAATCACTCTAAATTAGACTCTCATAAAGCAAGTGGTGGTGAAGGGATACAAGCCGTAGTCCTAAAGAAATGTGCCGCTGAGCCGTTTCCAGTTCTCTCGAAACTATATAGCTATTGCCTCGCCGATTTTTGTTTTCCAGCATGTTTAAAGTCCTCCTCTGTCATCCCGCTCTTTAAGAACTATGGAGAAACTTCTGGACCATCTAACTACCGTCCTTATCAGTCTCCTACCACTCTTCGGTGAAGTCTTCGAAGTTTTAATCAATGCCGAAGTGGTTAAGCATCTCAACTCTCACGATCTGCTCTCTGACAAAAATGCTTTCCGCTTTGCCCGGTCTACCGCTGATGTGCTTACGGCCATAACTGAACATGTATACAAAGCTCTTAATAATAACGGCGAAGCTCAAGCTGCTATTCAAGATATATCGGAAGGCGTTTGACAGGGTTTGGCTTGCTGGCCCTCTGCGTAAGCTTCCGGGATACGGTATTACGGGACGATTATTTTATTTAATCCAATCATTCCTGAACGGGTTCGCTTCCAATTCCTTCCATACGAACGCTGGTGTTCCTCAAGGTTCTATCCTTGGTCCTACACTGTTTCTGATCTTCAACAATGATCTTCCTGGCATCATTCATCAGTTTTCAAGTAGGCATCTACGCAGAGGATGCTATCATTTACCCCTGTCTCAATAGTAAATACGGAATTGCCGACAAAGTTAACCTGGCCGTTGGTCTCGAAAACGACCTCCAACTGGTTGACTAAGGTAGGGGATGGCTTGTGAATTTTATTGCATCCAAAACGAAACTGCTGTCATTTACTCAACATAGAGAAACTTCCTTGCCTCCTATCAACATGGTTGATGCTCAACTATACGAGAGCAACTCTCTGAGCCTTCTTGGTTACACGTTTTCCACTGACCTGAGGTAAAACAACTACATAGCTACATCTACCGTTTGTTTTCTGTGTCGCACGAGAAAGTTTTTCTCGTCTGAGTCCATCTTTCTCATCTACAAATCTACCATTCGCCCATGTATGGAATATTGTTGCCATATATGGTCTGGTGCCACCGCTGTTCATCACGAGGTTCTAGACAAAATCAAAAGACAGATATGCAATGTGATAGGCCCTGACTTGGGGTCTCGACTCCTGTCACTTTCTCACCGACGTAATATGGCTTCCTTCTGTCTTTTCTATAAATATTTTCATGATATCTGCTCTGACGAGCAATTTCCACTGGTGCCCAGACTGCATGAATTTAAGCGTGCTACTAGGTTGGCATCTCGGTCCCACCCCTTTACTGTCAAAACAGTTAAATGTAACCGCCTATTCTACCCCAACAGCTTCTTCTTTCGCACTTCCCAACAGTGTAACTCCCTTCCTCTTACTTGATTCCCTGATAACTATAATCTTCAAACATTTAAATGTAATTCCAATCGACATCTTCTGATGCCACTATGCCCGTTCTTCTTTTTATTCTTTCCTCACCCCCCCAATATCCAGTCTTTTCCCTTGTTTTCACTCACTGTAGCCCCCTTGCGTATACTTCTTGAAATTGATGGAGTAATTGTGTATGTACCTTTCAGATCAAGTCCATGAACTTTCTGGTAGCACCTCGTATACTCTCTCTCTCTCTCTCTCCGGCTCTCTCTCTCTCTCTCTCTCTCGCTCGCTCTCCCGCTCTCTCTCTCGCTATCCACCCCTCTCTCTCACGCTCTCTCTCTTGCTCTCCCACTCTCTCTCTCTCTCGCCTTCTCTCTCTCTCTCTCTCTCTCTCGAATTTGGTTAAGAAAAAAGAGAGGGAAACTCCTCCGTTTTTATTCCAAAATATCTAAGAAAACATATTTCTTTTTTTTTTAATGGTCCACCTATGGAACAAATGGAAACATTGGTTTAAAAATTCCACAGAGGTTTGCTTTTGTTTCTTTCTTGACCATTTCTTAAATTGCATATTCTTCAATTAAACTTTGTTTTGAATCAGATTGAAAGTTGATGTTTATTTTTTATTTATATGTTTTTATCACTCCAATCTGTCATCTTGTTATCTGACCAATATTGTCCCACAAATGTTTGATTAAAAACGCTTTGTTTGCGTTTTTTTATTTATTTGTTTCTACCAATTCTGCAGATCCAATTCATGTCGTTCAATATTCTACATGTCCAATTCATGTCGTTCAATATTCTTTTAATCCGATCAAAAACTGATCAAAACGTTTTAGTCACATTTATAATTAGTCGATGATTTTATCAAGCCATGTAATTTCCGATAATCCAATCAAACCTCTTAATTGACCTTAACTTTAGATCCGCGGAGGTCACATTAGAACCACGGAGATCAGAGGAAGTTGACCCGATTTTGTTTTATTATTCATCTTTTCATTCGGAACGTTGCACTTTATTTCATCAATTTCATCTTTCTTTCTTTCTTTCTTTCTTTCTTTATTTATTTATTTATTTCCTTCTTTTTCTTCTTCCTCGTCTTTCTTCTTCTTGTTCTTCTTTTTCTCTTCTCCTTCTACATTTATTTCGTCTTCTTTTTCTTCTTCTTTTCCTTCTTATTTCCTTCTTTTTTCTTTATTGTTTATTTTTCTTTTTTCTTCTTCTTCTTCTTTTCTTTCTTTCTTTCTTTCTTTCTTTCTTTCTTTCTTCTGTTCTCCTTTTCGTCTTCTAAGGAATGAAAATGACAAAGAATTGTACTCCACTTTTTTCATTAGGTGTTTTCATTCCTTCCTATGTCAATCTCTCTGATTTATTTCTATTTACTTCTACCTCTTTCCATTTTTCTTTCCTCATTCTCTCTCTCTCTTTCTCTCCTTTTCTCACCCTCTCTCTCTTTCTGTCTCTCTCTGTCTTTCTTTCTCTCTCTCTCTTTCTCGCTTTCTCTTTTCCTCACTATTTCTCTCTTTCTATCTCTCTTTTTCTCACTCTCTTTCTCACTCTTTCTCTCTTTCTCTCTCTCTTTCACTCTCTATCTTTCTCTCACTCTCTTTCTCACTCTCTAGTTCTCTCCCTCTATCTCTCTCTTTCTTACACACACACAAACACACGCTCGCTCGCTCGCACGCACGCACTCACGCAGGCAGGCACGCACGCACGCACGCACGCACGCAGTATGCATTTATCGACATACATCTCGCCTGACCCTTAAGTTTGTCCTTCCATAAATGTTTTCCTTCAAATTCCTTTATACAACACTCGAGAAAAGTGGATTTCAAAAATGAACCCCAATGATAAATAAAAAGTCGCTCTTCTTTGATCCATTCTCAATCAAGACATTAAAAAGGAAAATTAACCGAAAGGAAGGGGGAAAGGCGCGTCAGAAATATTTATGTCTTTTTTTGGGGGAGGGGCGTGTGTGTGTGTGTGTGTGTGTGTGTGTGTGTGTGTGTGTGTGTTTGTTAGGCTGAGTCAAAACTCTCTAGCATCATCATTTACATTATGTTAAAAATATCTTAGAAGTGTAGTTTTTGCTTAGATCTTTATTGTTTGTCTAGGCAGTTAACTTTTGTAAATCGTTTAGAAACAGTTGAAATTTAGAAACTAAAAAATTTTCTTGAGCTTTAAAGTAATAAAGATATGATATGTTATTCTGCTTTCACAATTGAATCCATGGTAGATGATACTCAGCTTTTGTGCATATAATTACATATAATAATTATATAATAATTATTGTGGACATAATTACTAGAGGTGGTGATGTGTGTTTTATGTCATTTTATTTTGGAATACAATTTGATTTCTTTAAGTAATTGTAGGATATTATATGGAATAATATCAATAAAGAGTTCTTTCTTGTTGATTGTTTGATTTTTTAGTGATCTATCAACATCTATGTGGGTTATATAATGCCGAAATTTAAAAATTTTGAACACATTTTCATGGCTTCAACTAAATATATTTTAAGCATAATTGTATGACTTCAACTACAGATAAAATGGCCATTTTGTTATAAAATTTATTGTTGGAAATTCTATAAAATTGTAATTCTTGTCATTTTACAATATAAAAATATATTGCTGGTAATTTTACAGTATAAAAATGTATTTTCACGCTTTTATAGTGGTTTTTTTTGTTGTTGTTTTCACTATTTGTCCATAGATGAGAGCTCCAACACGTGGTTCCACAAAATCTACAATCTGCCGGATGTAGTTTATCGTCATACAAGGACTGTTCTCTGTAGTTAATAAAAGTGTAATAAATGATTCCTTCTTATGAATTTGGTATAAGCCAAACAAACAATTACAGAGCAAAGCTACGAGGTGATAGTTCGTTTAAAAGACGCATTTGAACGAAAAAATCCTTTTTTTTTCTTTTTCTTTTTTTTTTTTTTGACAACGAAGTCAGCCTGTTATTTTCTTGCTTCACGGCGTTCGTATACTTTTTTTTGTTTTTCTTTTTCAAAGGCGATGAACCAAATTCAGATTAGATAAGAAGCGCGATTCTCAACAATCTAACAATTATTTCTTTCGCTCTGTGGAACATTCAGTTCAGGAATTCAAAAAATTCATGGAAGAATTAATCGAATCAAAAGTATAATCATTGAATCAGGAGAGAATAAACAATTTATCTGAAAGGTGACCTAATAACAAAGCATAACAGAAACACACACACGCACACACACACTGAAGTTAACACCGAGTGGCGACAGTCTGTTTCATACATGAATGCAATCTGATGGCCTGAAGATTGTATTTAAGCGTGAAAAAGACTGTAGCCACTCGGTTTTGATCTCAATTTCAACGTCACTTTTATACATAAATATAAAACGCTTTAAAACTATAATTTATCATTCATATATATATATATATATATATATATATATATATAAACAGTTATATATATATATATATATATATATATATATAACTGGGTTTCTGATCAAACCAAACCCATAAAAGATTACATTGGTCACACTACTACATGCCTATCCCGATGATTTACGTTAAACCTCCCGCCATAGCTCCATTAGAATTCATTTCAAACACACACACACAAACCTACTAGACACCATCTGAAACAGACTAGTAGAAAATACAAGCATAATAAAAAAAATGTAAAAATACTAAAAAATGTAAAAAAAATACTAAAAATAAAGGAAGCCCTATTAATAAAAAAGAAAAAAACAAAAGTCTAACTTAACTATGAACACAGCTACAATGTGCTGACCGTGTTTGAAAAAAAAAACATTCCTATAACCCTAGATACATGCACACAACCGATACATTCAGTTAAAATTGAAAATAAAATCATACTTGATAATGGCTAAAAGTATAGCTGAAAGCGCTTGGATATGCAAAACATTTGGACAGTTCTTATAAACTTTGTGTCCAGAAAAGAAAACATTTGTACGAACACAAGAAATATTAAATAAAGATCATTAATCACAGTACTTGGTCAGTCGTCTTTAATGAAACATGTATAAAAGAAGGATTGCTACCTAAATACACAATACAACCCCCCCACATATATATATATATATATATATATATATATATATATATATATATAAGTTGCATGAACATGTGGTTCTCTCTATGACTCTTAGTTTCTTTTTTTAACATCCACAAGCATAACAAAAGATAACGAAGAGAAAACAATCCACACAAAATCCAACCCCACAACTTCTGAACTATTTTATGACGTCCTCAGGTACATTCTTATCTGTACCTTCAAAAATACTCTACGCCATATTTAAGCAATATTTTTCGGTACTTCAACGTGGTATAACAGCTAGCAACTAAGATCAATTATAAGTGATTTCGATCATCACTAGGTGTTTTATACTTTTGGTCTTGAGCCACATCTAAACTACGCCTAGTATATCACTATGTAAATAATATTATAATGGCAATGGTCGTATTTTCTTCATGAGTTACCGAAAATAAATTATGTATACAAATCTATTGTCGCATGTAAGATTTTTGCTTTTTAAATACTTAAAGATAAAAAAAGAGACGAGAGTAGCCCGTTTTATGCATCATATTTGTTTTCTTTCATTTTTTTTTAAATAGGCATGAAAATAAGAGATATTATTCAATTATTCGTTTTAAACAGCGGATGAAACTGGATAGGATAATATTCTATGGATGTATAAAAAATGGTTTAGTGTCTTGGAGCCGAATGCGAAAACTGTCTTCCTTTTCGTCCACTTCTGTTTCTTGCGTTCGAAATGCGACAATCTTTCACGATTTCCCATGAATAAAAACATGCAAATTTTATTTGCTATAGGGCAAAAATCGACGTATGTAAATATTTTTTCTTTTTTTTATATTTGTATTGATTCAACCAAATCCAACACAATGCTTATTAGCATTCCCTATTTGTCGCCTTCGGTTGACTTTTCTACAACAAACTCTGAAAACGCAGATAACACCAGTATGGAGAACTATTTAGCATAGTTTGGTACAAGGTCACAGGAGGAGCCATGGGATTCGGTCTGGGATACGAGGTTAGCAATTATCTCCCTACAGTAGGCGACCTAAAAATTAATTTAACCTGGCGTAGACCCGCAACAATGAGATACTCAGCGAAGATTGAACATTAATACACTTTTATATACAGTGCATATATCTGTATATGCAATATATGTGTGTGTGTGTGTGTGTTTATTTACAAAATATATGCTTTCATATACAATATATATATATATATATATATATGCGTGTGTGTGTGTGTGTGTGGTTAGATGTAACCGTAAGTTCTATTCTAATAGTTTCTTTTCTCGCACTTCTCGGCTGTAGAATTCTCACCCGGTTTATTGCTTCCCTGTCACATAAAAACTTCAAAAATTTAAATGCAACGCCAATCGCCATCTTTTGTGTTACTGATTCCAGTTCTGTTATTGTTCTTTCTCCAGACTAAAGTTCTCTCTCATTCTCTTATATTTTAGTGTCATTATCAGCATTCTTAGGAATAAATTATTAATTAATATATATATATATATATATATATATATATATATATATATATATATATATATATATAAGTAATTCATCGAGTCTGATAGAAATCTCAACAGAATGCAGAAAGCACTGAGTTAGGTTGCCACAGTCCTATAGTTAGAGAGAACTCAGTAGGAGTTCCACCACGGAATATATGAGCGAGCGGCGCTATATTGAGTCTGATTAGCAATCTCTTCGTTACCGAGGCCCAGTGGAACAGTTGGTATGATGTTTGCTTGACGACCAAATGACAGGGTTTCTATTCTCGGTAGTGGATGCGCACAGCTGATGAGTCCCAAATATAGGACGAAACCGCTGTCCAGTGCTTTCTGCATTCTGTTGAAGTTTCTATCAGACTCGATGAATTAATTAAATATAATTATCAGATCCTCCTAATAATTTCTATCATATATATATATATATATATATATATATATATATATATATATATATATTGTATGTTGGGAATTTGAATTTAGATATGTAAATCAGATATGCGTCACTACTTTCTCTCTCTCTCTCTCTCTATATATATGTGTGTGTGTGTGTGTTTTGTGTCGAGTTAAAAAGAAATAGTAATCACGAGATAGATAGATAGATAGATAGATAGATAGATAGATAGATAGATAGATAGATAGATAGATTGCAAGTAACATTATTTTAACCAATCTGTTGAAATCAACAGGAAAACCTTCCTCTTTCTTATAACCTGACCTAAACACACAATATTTTTCCGCTGATCATTTCCTCTCATTTAAAAAACAAAAAAGAAAAATTTCCTTCCAATGTCGCCATTTTAAAAAAAGTGTGTCCAGAAAATAGAGACGACATTTATACGAGAAAGAGGAAAAGCTGAGAAGCTCGTAAGTATTTTCTTTGATGATATTTTGGCGAATAATTAATCAACTTCATTTGCTGATTATGCAAATTACTTCTTTCATACATACATATATATATATATATATATATATATATATATATATATATATATATATATATATATATAAAAAAAGTATTGTCTACTTATTTTAAACTGATCCTTTTCCAGTTGCCTAATCAGA